TATACGGTCTCCGTAGACTAAGCAGACCCGCCACTAAAATGTGTGTGGCGCACTACATATAAACAAATGTTAGTTATAATGTTAGGTAGTGATTTGAACCGAATCCCGTCATGAAAGTAGTCGATCTTTTCTCAGTTCAGTTTACGGGAGTAAACCGGTATTTTCAATGAATTTAAATTGGTAAAAAATAAATAGTTGATCTTAATTTTTCGAGTGTATCTTCCCAAAGACGATAGCGCAGTCAATGGTCTGAAAATTGGCACAGCGGCTGGGCAACCACAAATACATAATTGTTTTAAATCTGGGTGATGTATGTAAGGGTAAGTTAATGCATTCACGAGTAAGCAATCAGCGCCGCCCATGGACATCCGCAACAACAGAGTTGCGAGTTGGAGTTACGAGTGCGTTGCCGACCTTTTGGGGACTAGGGATTTCGAGATATAAGGATTGGGGTTGGGGAGGGATTCACACGAACTCACACCGCGAAATCATTAATCTCTCTCCGGTCGAGCCGACCCATTCGAAGCATGGCTCTCCCACACTTTAATTAATTTCTATCATTTAACTATGAGTACCTATTAAGATAGCACCAACGTTGTCCCGTCCAAGTTAAGCGATCGACAGAGGATATTCCAAGGTCAAAATTATATTCACCAGTCGTAGTTTCAAACAGGTTTCATATATCTGAACGCAATCACAATAAAAATAAATAAAAAATTTGTAGACCTAAGGTTTTTGAAAAATGCTCACAAATCCGGTTACTTAAGCGACTGTCATGGCCACAATGATTCCGTTGTAAATACTTGTAGAACCACTAAAACCAGTTCCATGCACTTTTTATTTTAATGCACCTCTTAAAACAAACTCGTTGTTAGGTTTGTTTCAAAAACGAAACTTTTAAAATACTAGGCCGAATTAAATTATTTTCTGACTAAAGGAGGCGTCTTGAGGAATTTTATATATTTTATTTGGGAATATTCATCCAATTCTTCTAAAGCCATGGGTGGGGTGAAATTAATATCAGAAACACCCCATTGCATCTGCTGCTCTTAGCTGCAGTACGATATTGTGCATTCGAAGTTATACCTATACCTATCTCGGATATTTTGTAAAATATACCCAATCAGAAGAAAATACTAGCTGTGAAGTCACATTAAAAATATTAAATTATTTCATAAGTAGATCACAAGTTGACATTCAAAGGAATGCAATAAAATCAATAAGGTGATATTTTATGTAAGGAAGTGAATGGACGAGGAAGACTGTGAGTAATTTTTACAATTATTTATTCGTTCATTGACCCGTTACTTATTTCATTTAGAGTGTAGGCCTACGTCCAACGCATGCGATAGCTGTCATAAGGGCTTAAGATTAAGAAATGTTGTTAGATGAATTTAGGAATTGGCGATTCATTGATTAAATTTAAGAAGTTCTACGTTTTTCAAACACAACCCATTGAAGCACTGGTGACTTTACCAACGGATAGGTCGTGACAAAGATATTTGTAACTAATTTCGTAAACGTAATTAAGTAGATAACATGAAATGAACTAAGTATTTCACTTATATTGCACATACTTACGGAAATTTCGTAATTGATTTCCATTACCTTAACTTACCTGTTTTTTACAACTGTGACATGTTAGATTACTTATTATTAATTGAAATAATGGTTTTGTTCTTTGCCTGTTTAGAAATGAATTGTATGTGGATCTAGTTAGGAGGAGACACATTCGGCTCGACCGGAGTGATACCACGGCCTCACAGAATACGTGTGAGTGAGGCTACTGGAGGCCCAATCCTTCCCCTCCCCCAATCCCCCCCAATCCCAAAATCTCCAAAACCCTAATCACTAAAAGTTTGGCAACGCACTTGTTACTTCTCCGTTGCGGGTGTCCATGGGCGGCGCTGATTACTTACGATCAGGTAATCCGTCTGCTCGTTTGCCGACATACTCCATAAAAAAAATATTAAAAAAATACTGAACGTGGAAAAATCCATTTCCATTTTTCTTTATATTTTATTGAGTCATCATTCAATACTTATAAGTATAAAAGTAAATTGATGTTCGTCAGCCTAGCTAAAACTCGAGAACGGCTGTATCGATTTGGCTAATTTTGGACTTCAAATATTTGTGATATTCTACAGAACGCTTAGAAAAATAAAAAAAATGTTAAAACATTTTGAAACATCTATACTAATATTATAAAGAGGTAAAATTTGTGTTTGTATGTAGAGTACATATTCATCTTTAAAACCGTTTGTTCGATTGCCAAAACTCTTTCACTGATAGATAGCTACAGTGTTCCCGAGTGCTATAGGCTATAAAACATCACGCTACAATCAAATGGAGTCGAGCAGCGGGTGACAACGCGCGAGAGTAGCTAGTAATATTATATATCAGATAGTCCGACACAAAAGTAGCAGTTATCTACATATTAAAATAACATTATGTGTATAAACTCAAAGGTTTAAGAAAAAAGGATTTCTATTAAAAAATTTAAAATCTGTAAGTGCTATCACAAATCTTTGGAACCACAGAAAATATTCAATAGAACCTCTTGACCTCACCTAAATTGTGGATATGTGCAAAATGTTTGCCAAAATTTAAGCCATTATTTTCATTGGATACCGTATGCTATGCATAATAATGCATTTTATGAATGGAACGCTGCGTATAATATGCTAATATGTCATCCTCTGTGTTCGTTGATTCGTATCTTGATATACAATAGCTGTTTGCATTGTTTTGAGTCGAATTAAAACTGAAAACACGTTGGGAATAAATTAAGGTCAAGTGAACTTTCAATTAACCAGTACTTATTTCCGTGTTTTGTTGTTTTTAAAAGAATTGCATGCAAATCTATACAAATATTATAAAGACGTAACATGTGTAAGTTTGTATGTAGGGGGTAATCTTTGGAACCGCTGGTCGGATTGCCAAAATTATTTCACTGATAGATATATACAATGTCCTTGAGTGCTTATAGGCTATAAAACAGCGGGTGAAACCGCTCGAGAGTAGCTATATAGTTTATTATGGGTATTTTTGATGCCAGTGACAATTATACGCTATATCATCGCTATTAAGTTTTATTTTATTTCTACTATTATTTATTTTTCTTTATAATAACATAAACATAATGTTTTCATATATGTATATTTTGATGCATAAGTACGGCGTAAACTGCCCGTATAAAATTCTTCTACAGTTAAACTCCATCCAAAGACTGTCTGGAATAAATTGCTTTTTAGCGATAACAACGCCAGTTGTACTGTCTTTACTGGTCGTTTAGTAAACAATCTTAAAATTATTGATATTTTAGCGAAATAGAGATGAAATTAACTTAATGTTTTGTCTGATTCAATCAAGTTTTATTATAAAGACGTGAAGACTGTAATCACTAGAGAAGTAACCAAACCAAGGGCAAGTATTACTAGAAAATAAATGCCGATTCATTATGGCACATTGTCAAATACCAGTAGTGTCACCTAATTTTTAACATTAACCGAATAGGGACGTAATTAAAATTAATGTAATTTGAAACCACCAACTCACAATTCAAGCGTCAACAATATTCAAATCATAATATCGATCGACGCCTACAAATGGTTTTGAGCATTTTCATTGCAATTCTGCTAAATTTCACCTACCTTTTTTAAGAAGGAAAATCATCAAATGAATTTTCTCGCCCTGGATAGGCTGGGATTGATATAGGCCTCTCATTGACTAAAAACCACTCCATTCCTCCTTGTCCCCGGGCCACGGCCACGGTACATCATTATTGCGCTTGGCCCGCTATTGGGTCCCATATGTGGTGGTCTGTTCCCTTTGAGGCGCGATTTCACCAGCAGCTCGGCGTCTACTGGTCCTTTTTTGAAACATATAATGATTTAGATCACGGGCACTTATGCACTTATAAATAGTTTTGAAGGCCATTTCTTATCAAAATAAGTGCCTTTCCCTAATCTTCTTTGATATATCCAATACGATCATCGTATATACATCATGGTCTAAAATACCCTTTAAATGTTTTACGCAAATCCCGCTCAATGAACAAAGAGTCCCGTTGTCTGTTCGTCGCTCAGAATTTTTCATAAAGGGAGATCATTAAATTTGCACAGATCATTTATCAGCCTGAACCTCAAACCTAAATTAAGGAGGAAATAGTGAGTTTCATTTTATTTTCTCGTAGTTTATTTCCTTGGTAACTGAGAAAATACTTTGGTCCAACGACTTTATTGACTTTGAACGAACATAAAATCGTTGTTCGATGCGTAGACAAGTTTCGAAGCATCATCATAAAACTCAAGTCACTTTTTGCCATTTCAAAGGCCCTTAGGCTGTAAAAAGAAGATTTTGTCATTAAATTTCTTCAAAGTGTGTGTCTCACATAATTGAACTTTTAAGAACTAATATCATAGTAAAGCGTTCTGTCAAAACGGTTCAGCATGTTAATTGTTATATAAAATGTAGTCCTAATTTAGGAATGTAATACTGTTATTATAACCGAAATTTAAAATGGTGTTATTATTTATTGTATTTGGTTTTTATTTAACGACCACAATCACTGGAGACTGAAACGCCCGTTTTACATGTACGATGGCACGGATTTGAAACTTGACAAGTACTAATGTGACTTTTTCCTAATTATATGTAGGTACTTTTTAAATGTATTCAAACAAACTGAAGGTTAAGAATCCGTAGACTTATAATTTCTTATAACAAGTTTCTAATCGCCAATTTGCCTTGAGTAAGCGTAGGTAGTGATACATAATGAAGAACCTTATCGTGTGAGCAAAGGTCTTTACCCAGTAACTGGTAATGTGCTGATGAAAAAAAATCTTACTAGAATGAAAAACAACCATACGTCCCTGGCGAGTCACAAAAGCGTTGGTACTAAAATCTTTTAAAGTTTCACAAAACAGTTTACACCTTAAATAGCCAACAGTGATTCGGCACATGCGGGTTAAAAAACAATGTGAGCGGACCTTAAATTCGCTCCAGCGATCCAAATACGGTTTTTTGTTTTTGAGAAAATAAACTTCGTATATAAAACGTGGGTGAGAACAGCGGACTTTTCTTCGTGATTATTAGTGCAAGCAAGATGGTACTCGGTCGTGTGCACTACGCCTTTTGTGTAATACTTGTGATCCAAACTTTATTGTATTGTGATGGTCAGTTCGTGCAAAAGAATTATGAAACGAGTGAGTATGTTTTGGCATTGTTGCGACATTCTTTGTGGGAATTTTGCGGTAGAGATGGTTGTTGTGATAGTCCTTTTTGTTATTGTGTGCTCTGAAAATAAGATTTGGAAACATTCAACTCTACTGGATTTCAACAACATTTGTTGTCTTCCTTTTAAAACTATTTAGTTATTATACTTAGTTAGAAGGTTTTCGTTCTGTACTTTCAAGGTAATTAGATATTCTGACTACATAGTCTAGTGCAGTGAAGAGAAAATGCACATTTTGAATCTTATACACTTTTCAGTATGATTCCGTCATTTATTTATCTGCTCGTATTTGCTATTTTTCATTCTTAGGAATATCAAATTTTATCGCCCATATTTCGTACTATGTCATAATTTTTTCCTCTTCCTATAATTCTTTATTTAAATCCAAAATTTTATATTACCACCATCAAAACATTTCGATTTGATCAAAATCACAGGAGGGTGCTAGAAACGGAATTTATTTATTCTTGAGTCCTCTTCGCTTTCTCCTTTAATCTCAACAGTATTGTAAAGAAAATCTACAAATCTTGACCTACTTAAACACTGAATGGTCCATCACAGCCTATTCCAATTATTTTTTTTCCATAAATGTTCACTTTTACAAGATATTCATGTAAATATTAGATGTTGTATACATAACGAAATAAACATTACAGGAATGAATTATTTTCCTTCACTTTTATTACTGGATGAGCGGCGAATAAACATATTATACTTATTACCTATTCCAGTGTAAACCGACCTCTTATTTCAAAGCAAGTCAGCTTGACGATAGTTCTGTTTATACTTGTCCATCCGAGTTGACTGTGAGTCATCTGTATCTACAATAGTTTTAGCCTGGAAATTATTTGGATCAAAATAAAAGACAGACGCTGTTATTAGTACGGTAGGTACTACTTCAGCAATTCTAAGTATAGGCCCCTATAAATATAATTATTCCTCTTCCAGACAATTTACGAGATGCCCTTGAATATCCTTTGCAATAGTACTAGAATAAGCACTTAGTAATCTTACTAAGTACTTATCTAAATTCAATCTTGACTTAAAGAAATAAAGTGGCATTCTGTTTGATGCAAATTATTAATATGTCTGTTTTAAAGAGGTATGTTTAAGAAGTACCTATGCCAGCATATGGATCACCTGGTCTGATAGTGAGTGATCAAGAGCTTCATCTCATTTTTGGACCACCGACTCGTAGAAAATTTATGGAATTAAAACACAAACTTGAAGCCCACAATAAATTAAGCCTGCAACCAACCGTATAGAATCTAACTTCATACATCATACGACCTCTAAACAATTTCTCGCTACATTACCCTTACCCACACCTATTAACATAAACCTTACGTTTATAAATAACATAATCTTAACATCTAAAGAAACTTGTGCAATAAGTAACGTCGTTTATTCCACACAAAGTACTAAAGAAAATGAATGTAAAGAAATTAATCTTTTCTTTGTAATAAAGTAAATAATAATATGTGAATGTTGGTTAGATTGCGACCTTATTCCGTCAAGTTTATGAGTAGCGTTAATATGCATGCGACTGGCAACATTTATTTATTTTATCTTTTTTTATTATTATTTTATCGTTTAACGCTAAGCTTTTTTATCCTTTGGCTCTAAGTTTGAGTGCCAAAAACGTAAATTATTATTTTGATCATCTATACTAATATTATAAAGAGGTAAAATTTGTAAGTTTGTTTGTGTCTTTGGAACCGCTATTCGGATTACCAAAATTCTTTCACTGATAGATAGCTACAATATTCCTGAGTGCTATATGCTATAAAACATCACGCTACGATTAAATGGAGCCGTGCAGCGGGTGAAACCGCTCGAGAGTAGCTAATAGTAATTGATATAACCATGAAGATAGAAAATTCCAACTAAAAACAAATGTTTTCATTACACCAAATGTTAAACCTCTACAACACGCTGAAATTTTTAATAGCTGCTCTATCATAGTTGTAAGTAATGTAAGTCTTAATCTAGATACCTATCTAAACATATTATTCTTTTGATACCTTGGTTTTTTAGCACGCATGCATAATTGGATATCTATCGTAAGTAAATATTGGTCCGTGGTTTATATTTAATATCTTGAAATTATACACATGTATACTAAGTTTAACAAAAATACGAATAAGAATACAATAGAACGTAAAAATGGGTTCTGGATAGGCACAACGATTCTGTGATTCAAATGGTCGCAGTTGCATATGCAACTACCAGGGTTCGAATGATTCTTACCTACATGCATGAAGTCTAAAATTTAAAGGTTATAACAGAAAGAACGCATTACCTATGTCAAACTAGTTTAACTATTTAGTCTTGTATGGAATTTCTTGCTCGTTAAAGAGTTTCTTGCTCGTTCTTCTCCATTCGAATCTACAATTTGGAACGAGCACTTAGCTTCACTGACGAACAGGCTGACAGACTATTATTCCACTTTAACGTTTCAAAGGTACTTTTTATGGTTTAGTTGGAATAAATGATTTTGACTTTACATGAAACTCAAAATATTAATACCGATACACCTCACTCAAGATCCACGTCTTAGAGCAGGAAATCTCTTTAAATATCGTTGAACTATTCTTACGAGCTTTTTCCTTATTAAAAATGTTAAAGCAATATGGCCAATGTGCGACCTTGATATTTTAAGATCCAGTTTTAATTGTTTTCTTTATAATAACAGCAGACCGTGGTGGGCCCGATCATGATTATGGTGGATTTTGGATTAATATATTTAAGTGTAAGCGAGCCATGGGTCGGCTCGACCGGTGTGATACCACGGCCTCACAGAAAACCGGCGTGAAACAACCACAGCGTTGGGTTTTACCGTGTGAGTGACGTTATAACGGATGCCCAATCCTTCTCCTCCCTAATCCCAAAACGTCGGCAACGCACTCATAACTACTCTGTTCCTGCGAATGTCTAAGGGCTGATTGTTCGGGGGAGGGACCGTACCATCAGGCAAACTGTCAGATAAAAAAAATGGAATCCGCTTCTCATGCATGAGGGTTCAAAACTTGGCACTTGCCAGGAATATAGATACTTATGAATTACATTTTTTAGAGTTATGTATGCATAATTATGCTTTCTACTATTATTTGGCAGCGCCGATTGCTTAACATCAATTAGGTAATCCATCTGTTCCTTTGCCGACCAAATATACATGGAAAAACACCGCGGCCATTCCCTTCTAGGCTGCACTATCGTTTACCGGCGTGAAAATAGATTAGCGACGATACACTGTGGATAAAAAAAAATGTGTAACTATGATATTTTGCTATAGCTATATTCTAAAGGTTGATCAAAAACAATGGTACCAGTAATCGTAAAAAGGTAATCATAAAAACTACTCAACACGTGCCATTCGAAATTACTATAATTAGGTACGATCATCGAACTACAGCCTGTCTTAGAAACAAAATCAAAGTTCAATATTCGCCAGGTGTCGATAAAACCACAAAATTTTATGCCATCCATTTATTTTTCTCAATACTTTAACTCCTTTGGGACACCGTAAAGTTTTGTTAAAGGGACCGACTTACACAATTATATGTAAGTGTAGCTACAGAAAAAAATCTAATTTCCCATCCCATTTAAAAGGGTTGCCAACGAGAAATATGCACATTGTTTGGGTAAAAGAATACTTTGTAAAAAGTGCTTTAGGCAAATACCTCCCTAAGTTTATTTTGACCTAGGTATGTGTTCGGTTACTTTGATATTTTAATTCGGATTTTTTAGCGAAACATTTTAACACTGTGTTATTTCGGTGTTAGGATAGGTCCTACGAATTTTAAGCAGGTATATTTTTCCTCGTTTATTTTGTGGCAATAATTTTAATCCAGTTCAGTTCAGTTCTGTCATGTTTTTTTGTACTCGTTTGCCATCTATCAATTCACATCATTCATCAGTCATCATTTCTACAGTGTAGGTATTATAATTCTACCTAATTATAATACCTACACTGTAGAAATATACAGTTAAAAATACCTATCCTAATTCCTCACAAAAAAAACATGACACACGTTACTTAATTAAGTAAGTTGAAGATTATGCAAGTTCGTGGACTTTTCATTTAAAACCTTTTAACTGTTTTTTAGGTTAGGTCTCAGGCTAAAATTCTACAAAAGAGAGACATACAAAAATTACCTCTATTTCATTACTTTAAAGAATATTTTAACATACACGATACATTATCAGTGATTTATTAAGTGACATTTTCTTCGCGTGCGAATTAACGCTAATGTCTTATTTTTATCTCCATTATCGTTAGCCTTTCGACGAATGTGATTACAGGAATATTTATTTATTCCGACTTTAAAAATAAAACATGATATCTGCGGGAAAACTTGACACTAAGCTAAGGAATATAAGTTGATATCTTCCTTTTGATTTCGAAGTTTGCACTAAGTTAAAACAGTTCTTTATGCTCTAAAACAATAAAAATACACGGATCGCTTAAAGTGGCAAAACGTCCAATAAATACGTAGGTACGTATCTATTATTGGATACCTACTTACCTACTGATTTTGATTATGTACTTACTGGACCGAAGCTCGTTTTTTTGTAAATGTAGGTATAATTATAATAGCCAATCACACGCTCTCATTTGTAAGTAATGGCAACGAGACGAAACAATGAGTTGGCAACCTATATTATGTAGGATCAATTAAGTACATTCAAGATTACCTACCGGATTGGAAGAGATGTATAGTCATAAAATTTTATGGCCAAAAAATTATCACACTGATGCACGCCGCCTACCAATAGATAATGGTAGACTTTAACACACTAATACGACTAGGCATGTACGAACCAACCGCACCGCAGATTCAATGACCTTTTGTTATGTAGGTTTTGTTATTTTTTTTTTTAACATCAAACGAGGCAAATACATAGTGATATGAGTAGTTGAAGAACGCTAGTAGGGGAGACAAAGTAGAAACCTACCTACCTACTAACTTAAAATACGTCATCATCATCATACCTAAATTAAATTAGATCAAGCAATGACAGCTTTAAAACAAGTGACAACAAGGTAGGTAACCTGTTCCTAACTGCCTGGAAAAGTGATGACTGCTGAGTTTTTAATGAACTAGTTTCTGCCAGCTGCTTATCCTACAGAATCTATAAAGGAATAATAATAATAGACTGTTTTATTCCAGACTACAATCCACCTATTTCTGTCTCAAAATTCATTCGAATCCGGTCGCTAGTTTTCACGTAAAAAAGTACCTACGAACAATGTGTATAAAGGAGAATGTTACTTAGTTACGTACATTGAGAATAACGACTTCATAATCATCAGTCTGATTCCGACCACTGTTAGACATACGGCTCCCCAATTGCACGCCATTGATTGAGCTCGATGCTCAGCTCATCCGACCACTGTCAGCCACCCCGCGGATATCGTCAGTCGATCTACCTGGAGGGCGTCCTACACTACGTTGCCCAGACGTGGTATTCACTCTAGACGGATTTAATAATGAAACATTGAACAGAAAAAATCTCTTCTACCCGTAACAGTCACCGCGCACGGTACTATTATTCGTGAGGACATGATTAACAATCCGGTTGTGACATGAAACTAGCCGAGCTTTTCACAGCAGGAGATTTTGGACATTTTACGGCCAAAGTTAAGACACGATAATTAGTAGATTATGGTGTGATTTAAGATTAAGGTCGGTTATTAATTTCGGCCTCAAGAGATTACCAGAAAATGTTATTAGATAATTATCTTAAGGTAATTTTATGAGATTCGGTTGGGCGCATAGATACACAGACACCAGCATCTTCTGCGCTGGTGATACTAGATATGTTACTTACCTATAGTTTTACTTTAGTTTTCAATTGTGAATCTATGGCATCAATTAACTCGAGCCGGGTATTATTCAACTTCCATTTAAAAGCAAGGCGTCCGCATTCCGCATGTCACTATTTTCTGTCGACCTACGAAATAGTTCTACAATATCACTATTTTCACCAACGAAATTTTATACGGTCCTAAATCCTAAAATAGTAACCTTATCTAGGTACCTACTATATTCGGAGATTGATAGGTAAAAAGAGATGAAAGCTTTAGGAAAAATAGGTACCTAGCTACATTCATAATTTATAATAAGGAATGTAGACGAGGGATGACAGGGTTGAAAGCTAAAGTTAAAAACTTATTTAGAGAGGATCGTATAGGCAAGAAGGTACTGTATAATATTTATTAGGTACTTAGGTAAGGTAGGTATTATATCTTTACCAACTTCCGCTCGCGGCTTCGCTTTTGTGGTAGGTATGTATACTTATTGATAAAAAACTTCTTCGTCTCAATGTTAATCCAGGTAATCCAGGTATCAACATACCCAATCCCAACCAAAACCATACCCACAAATCTCACAAACTTTCACATTTATACTTAATATCAGTAGAATTTGGAATCACATTCAAAAGTTTGTATCAAATCCAGAACCACTAACTATGTATAAGGCACCCATAACTTAAAAATTTCTAATTCCTTTATGCCATTTTAGCGGTGGTGAGTATTGATAACAAAAAAAAACTACCTTTACACCTCTAGGTGATTTATTTTCATTGTATTGCTTTCAGTAACCCCAGTGCCGTTTCCGACATGCAGAGCAGATGACATCGACTGTCTACGCCGAAGTCTCAGAACCTTCTTCTTTCTGATGGATGCTGGCCACTTTGGCATGCAGCCTGTCGACCCAGCCATCGTTAACAGTGTGTCCTTAGCCTTACCCGAAGAACAAACGACCTTTGCACTAAGAAGGGTCAACGTAACCGGTGCCAGGTGGACCAAACTCGTCGAAAGGAGGTTTTAATCATTATTCAGAATTTACTGTAATGTTTTTATGTTAGATTTGTGGGGTTCAATCAATGACGTATTATATATCAGTCATAGTTTTATACATCATTGGGTTCAATCTTGAAAGTTTCAAGGGCAAGCGGTATATTGGTAAGTAGGTACCAACTACGAAGGAGTTAGTTAGGATAGAACTTGACCTTTGATTTTATTTTAGTTTAGTATTAGTAAGTATATAGTTTAGGTACATTATGTAGTACCTTCACAGGTATCAGAATCTATTAAGACGAGTATAATTTATGGTCGATAAACGATAGTATTTATGGTCTATCTGGCCATAGTAATCACCAACCTTACATAAAATTAAGTAGGTAGATAAGTGTGGGAGAGCCATGCTTCGGCACGAATGGGTCGGCTCGACCGGAGTTATACCACGGCCTCACAGAAAATCGGCGTGAAACAACCACAACGTTGTGTTTTGCCGCGTGAGTGAGGTTACCGGAGGCCCAATCCTTCCCCTACCCCAATCCTTTCCCAATCCCTGAATCCCCAAAATCCCTATCCCTTAAAGGTCGGGAACGCGCTCGTAACTCCTTCTTTGTTGCGGGTGTCCATGGGCGACGCTGATTGCTTACCATCAGGTAATCCGACTGCTCGTTTACCGTCCTATCACATAAAAAAAAGATATCTGCCTAAGTTTACCTATACTTAACAATGACTACTTACTTAGTGTAAGTAAACTTAAGTCTTAGAATTGTGTCACTTTTAGATAACAGACCTGTTCTAGGAATAGACACAACACCACTTTTTTGTTTAGGTATTATTTCCGTAAGTACAGGTATTAAGAGATAGATTATATGATATTTTATTAATGTGGGTATATTATTTTCTAGCCAATGATTTTAAGACAATCTTGTAATTTTATTCTGATTATTGATCTACTTATCTAATTTTTCGAATAAAAACAAGTCTCTAATTTTGCGTTACCAACTCACCGGGGATGTAACTCAGTGGTAGAGTGTCTGCTTCGCATGCTGAAAGTCCTGGGTTCAAATCCCAGCATCTCCACATACCTACTTCAAATTTTTGGATGAGAATTAATTTTTAACTTTTTTTCTGTAATTTTTTGATTTTCAGATTCAATTTAGAAGGTGGTAAAACTGGTGTGGTATTTCTTAGCGACCTTCATTTGACCGGTCAGATAAGTATGGAGGTAGCTGGTAGGCCGGAACCTCACAATGCTTACATAACAATGGATATACGTAAGTTGACAAACCACTATCATGTCACATACAGTATTGATTAGAAACAATCATTATTATGATTGACATCTTGTAGGTAAGTAGGTAGATAGTAGATTATTAATAAGTTGCTAGGTACCCACAGAGGCAGCAGAGTGCCTAGCACGAATGAGTATCGTAATCGTAACGTTAACGTATCGAGACGTCGATACTTCATGTGACGAAAACGGAATGTCGCAGCACGAAGCCTATCGTATCGTCTAGCGAGAGCTCGAATCGAATTCGTTAGTGACGTCATGCTAATGTAAGCTAGAGAAGCACCCAAGTGAACGAATTGAATGAATTCTTGAACATAATTTAACATAAAGATTTCGTCTGAAAACTAAAATTAATTTTAAAGATATTTCAACCTTCGTCTACACCTTTTGTGGTATTATATTTAAATGAAAAAATATTAATTACGTGAAATAATTCTTAAAACGAGTCAAGAAGTATATAAAATGACTTAATCTATGAAAAAAAATATTATTTGGTTATTTAAATTTTGTAACATAATTTACGATTTCCGAACGTTCTTTTGACAAAGGTGACGTTTGACGGCTATTGACGTATTTTTTTTTAACAAACAAAACAAAGAATGTAGATTGTAGATAATTATGCGGCTATCTTATTATGCGGTTAGTTTAAATTTATTTTAAAATGAGGAGGAATCGGCTCCAATACGAATTATAATGGTGGATTTCATGGAATATGCCAGTGACAAGCAGCGAGCCTTCAGTGTTCCGACCACTCCGCAGTACCCATGAAGCCAGCCGTTCACCGACACCACCAGTCGCCAATCCTCCATTAGAAAAAGAATGCTGGAAGCCTCGACCGAAGAAAAAATCTAAAGGGAGTTTAATCAAATTGTGTTTAGAGAATGATAAGAAACCTAGGGAGTTTGCTAGGGATACGATAACGGCGTGAGGAAACATATGATATAATGGAACAAGAGCGTTTGGAATTACGACGAGAAGAATGAAGAGTAAGACAGAGAGATGCAGAGCTCCTTTTACAGGCTCAGTGGCTGGAACTTATGAGAGAGGCAATAAATGTATTAAAATTTAATCTAGTTAAAAAGATGATTAATGTATATTTACATGTTTTATTTTAAATTACTACATTTTGGAATGAGGGAAGATTATGTTAGAATTGAATTTAAAATGTCTCACTATAGTTACCTATTATAAAAACATAGGTAAGAATAGTTTTTAATTTAGATTAGTGTGTAAGCTGTTTTGGAAATGTACAATAATAAAACACTTGGGTCATCTGTGTAGTATATTTATTTGCTGTACCAGAATATTCCTTATAGCCCTTTCACTTATCAAATCATCGCTTCTATCATTTTCATGTCTCATAACAGAAGATGAGGTATGAGACAAGTCTTGATGCTGTTGTTGCAGCTGTTATTGTATCTACCTGTTGCTCAGGCACATTGAAATTTATGACCAAATTATGCAACACGCAGCAAGCCGTTGTCAAACACATTTTTCGGGAGCATAATGCAGTGTGGTCTTTGCACAAGCATCGCCTCTTCTTTCTTTTACTGCAGTATATCGTGCGGGCCACGAGTTCCCTCTACCGCATCCAAAATGAGTAGGCGTCATTAGCCATGGTCGCTGTGGGTAGCCAGAATCACCTGTAAAAAAATACTTATTAGAAAACCTAATTTATACTAGCTACTTCCTCGCGGTTTCATCCGCTGTTCGACTACTATTGATTTCATTTTAGCATTATAAGGTTAGTTTTTGTTGGAGTTGCTCACAGAAGTACTTGAAAGCTTTTTTATTTAGGCGGTACCTAGTATTTCTAAACTACGTTTCAGTGATATCCATTGGATTAGATATCTTTCTGAATTTAGCTCGGCACACGATTTCTCTAGAATAATCAGTTAATTCGTATTATTTTCTTGAATACATATGTCTATATTAAGTGAAACATAACTTGAATAGGTAGGTACTTAGGTACTTACGAAGTTTCTCTTGACTCTTCATCTCCAAGTAAAATAGCCACAAATAAACTATTTCTCCAACTTGGTTCGTACAGCGGCGGTCTTTGCATGATGTTATACTCGTAAAGAATACTCACAAACCTTATAATATATTATTTAAAACACGATTGAAATATTTCGAAACCTTTCTCACCGTCTAATTCTTAGTGACAAATGTTTCGACAGTTTTCGATAGCCAGCCTTCGAAACTTACGTTACTATACGTCAAAAGATCGTTCGTGCTTCCAATTTGTATCAAAATGTTCTAAGTTTCGATAGCTACACGATACGATTACTATACGATAGTTGTCAAAATCATTCGTGCTTGCGATTATTAGTTCCTTTTACGCACGGTAGGGGCGCTGTACAAATCCCATAGAAAATGCTTTCGATCTCGATACGAATACTTTCTCGATAATGTTCGTGCTAGGCACACAGATCAACCCTCACTTTTTTGTTAACCTTTACTACACCTGTCGTGGGTGCGTTTACAAACATACAATTTCACATGCACATCACACCCAGACCCGAAACAACAATTTGTGGATCACACAAACTGTTGTTCCGTGCGGTAATCGAACCCGCGACACGTTGCACGGCAGCCAGTTGCCAAGTCACCGCGCCAATCGTGCAGTCCTATATTTGATTAAGTAGACTTTTATAGTTGGCAATGAAGTAAGTAAATCAAATTAAAAACTTGCATTTATTTGCCCTGCTAGTCACTGTAGATACCTACTTCGGAATAAATCATTATGAATGACCAACCATGAAACGTGCCTACCTACTCATGAAGTTATACGAATAGCAAATGACCAGTTCTTTCCGCAATACCTGCTTCAAAGTAAAACAAAGTTAGATTCTTATTTAAAAATTTAAAATTTCTAACCAATAGGTATCTAGGTATCTTATCTCGTAAAGCCGGCTGTAGGTACACATGGGGCCAAGGTGTTGGGCCAAAATGCTGGGCCAAAATGATAAGACCGCAGTGCTCATTGGCCCAACGTGTAGAGTTGTTCTTGGCGGTATGTTGGTAGCGGCGCGCCAATATCCTTTGATATGTTGACAAAACCGAAAACATTCGGTTTGCTCGCCAATATTATTTTGAGCCAACCGGAACATCGCTACCAACATATCGCCAAGTAGCCCTCTATACGTTGGGCCAGTAGGTTGGCCCAGTACCTTGGGCCAATGTGTACTGCGGGCTTAACAGCTAGTCGTTGGCCAGTTATTTTAGATAACACAAACTAGCAAAGTAGACCGGTAGGTATATCCAAAGGTAAATTAAGTCTCCGTGCAGTGTGTACATAACCCAACACCCCGTCTCGAGCAATTAAACTTTGTCCAACTGCAATTTAGCACACTTTCAGTAAAATCCTACAATCTGCATAATTAATAGATAATATGAATGTAATGTACTTAATTTTAAATATCACTCGTTGTTGAAGATTCTTCGTATGTATGTAGGTAGTGTAGATTGCAATAATATTATATGTTGCAGCAGCTCATTGTAGGTATGGGGGATTTAGATGGGTAAATGGACCCTTTTTAATTATTAAAAAGGTTTATTTTATTTTATTTAGGTTCCTCTCGTCTATATGTAATACGGTAGTTTCCAACTAGTCAAATTCACTACTAACTTACTTTTATCCAAATGTCAAAAACGACACTTTTCTATGAAATACTGAGTTATGACGTCATAGGATTTTTACGTCAAATAGCTTATTTATTTCTTAAAAATTAGCTTTAAAATATCTAAAATTTAGTGTATGGATCGATCGATGAATGAAAGTATACTTAGTTATTTTTCAATATTTGATTGTATTGAATTTCGTTTGAAAAACGTCGAATTAATTTATTTTTCACCTAGGAAACTACCCAATTCCTGTAAAAATTATATTTTTTTCGTTGTTATCTAAGTCCTACTGATTTAAGTACCTACCTACATGAACCTTGAATGTTCCCTTATCTAGTTGATACCTATTACCTATCAACTTATAAGTGTGTACTGTAATATACTTAGTGAGTGACTGGCTGGTGTGCAGGTACCTATCATAAGTATTTGATTCCTGTTACTTGAATTCCGGCGTAGAACTGTGTGCGGCAATATTTTACCTAAGAATTCATAGTTTAGTTAGATATAGCATAAGTAATTACGGCACCTAGTCAGCTGTGGCAGTGGCTGAGCAGTGAGCAGGCTGCTATGCAATATATTTATGCAACGTGTCACCGGTTCGTTACCGGCGCAGAGTAACTTGATAACAATACATGTGAATTCGTACCTATGCGTGTAAACTAAGACTGAGTAGTCACGTTCTTTATTAACCATACCTACCTACATATTAAGATACCTTGTGATAACCTAAACCTATAAATTAATAGTAAAAAAATCGTGTCACATAAATCTTCATCAACCAATTCAGTAAACAACAAGCTTGACATAATTATGTATAATAAAATGCTGTACTTAATTCCAGAGGGTGCAGAAAGCAACATCACTTATATGGGCAACATACAACGAGGTCTCGATAATGAGGATTACATTGTAATCGGTCCCGAGAGAATAGCCATCAGGAATAGGCGAATCCCAACGTACTTTTTACAACCAAGTAAGCTCCTGATTTATTTGTTTGTGTAAATAATATAGCTACCAATTATATGGGGCATAGATAATATGGCAATTGGATGGGGTACCTACTACAAGTGCGCTAATTAACAAATGAACAGAAAGATATTATTGTCGTCATAGGTTTCTTTGTGCGGGCGAAAATGCAAGCCACAGCCGCAATGTTGACGACCGCACAGCGCCTCGCATTTCAGTAAACGTGGGCTAATACTATGTCTAACCTCCTGTCCTACGGGCTCTAATTAATTAACACACGATGTCATGTAATTTGTCTAGGCAAGACAATTATCTAAATTTAAGCGAGGATAATCCATTAGTAGTTTAATTTAATAATCACAGTTGATGTTGTCTCTAGCAAATAATACAATCTGTAAAAATCATATACACATAATTTTATGAAGTTGGTAGGTAAAAAAAGGATTTCTTAAAATTGCAGCTTTTCATTTCAATATCTACAAAAAACATCTTCAATTTTATTATTTTTAAAGAATTATCTTGGAATTTGAACCAAAATCAGCCTGAATTTCTCAAGTGACAAACATTCATAGTAAGTGATTTTAACTTTTTTATTTTTTACAGATACTGAAGATTCATACATCATTGACGAAGCAATACAGAAGAAACAGTCTATCTTGGATCACTTTTCAAATGAAATCACAGCAGCCATAATGCACTCTGTAGTCGATAATTTTAGATTATTCTCCATGAAAGTACCCATTAGACATTACTATAAGTATTATAAGTAAAGGTTAACACAGTAGGTATACCACAGGAAGATCTGAAATTAATCCACTGAACAGAAACAAATTGTAGCGAAAAATAAGATATTTATTAAAATCAATAAAAACAGGCACATTTTTGTTTAATTTGTTATATTAATGTTCCTAGAAAACATCACCCATAGATTCTTCAACAAACTTTTTGTAGATAGCCATGAATTTAGCAACAAATGCCTCAAGGTGGAATATAGGTTTGTTACCGAGTCTCATTCTATGTTCATAGTTTGCTGCATGACTGGCAATTTGGCATTTCATAGCCATGTCACAATTACGTACCAATTCTTTTAAAAGTCCTGCAAAGATCATGTCAGGAGGAACACCGTGTATTATCAACTCATACAATTTTTGTCGGACTTCACCAAGTTTCTTTGGAGTTTGTTCTGATAGTATCATAGTAGCTGTATCTCTGATGAACTGTTGCCAATCTGGTTCTGGTATCTTTTGATCTGATGTAAATGGATACTGCTGAACTTTACAAGCCTCACACATAAGTAATGCTCTCCTTAAATTGCGGTCTGCTGCCTTTGCAAGCCGCATTGCAAGGTCAGATGGGAGATTTAGACTTTCTTTTTTACAAACTAATTGGAGTACTGAGGCAATCTCATTTTCTGTTGGTGCTGGCACCCTGATGGTAAGGCAACGGGACCGGATAGCAGGAATGACACGAGATATGGAGTTTGCAATAAGTATCAGGCGACAGGTGGCGACGTACTTCTCCATAGTTCGGCGTAGGGCGTGTTGAGCGTCTTTTGTTAGGTCATCTACCTCATTAAGAATAACAACTTTGAATTCTCTCTGCCCTGTTGAATCTATTTGATGAGTTTGAGCCACATTTTTCACTAAGTCCATGATAACAACTCTGTCGTGAATTCCTACATCAGTTGGATTAACTTCAATGTGATAGTTGCTACTTACAGTCATGATTTCTACTTTCTTATTGGAAGGTGTTGTAAAAGTCATTGTTTCTTGTCTAAGCCGTTCCACACCAGAACCATAAAGTTCTCGTAGTAAACACATGATGCGAGTCTTCTTACCGGCTCCTGAAGGACCGTAAACAAGCAAATGCGGAAAATCACTTTGCTGAACCAAACTTTTTAATCTCACCGCTTGATCTTTATGATAATCCAGTTTCATTAAATCTCTTGGCCTATGTTTATCTACCCAAAGACTCATTATTACGACTTAGCGTATTACTTTTTCTATTTAATAACAATCTACAAATTATTTATCTTTAAATCGAGGTTAGCTTTGGCGGTTAAATGACAAATATGACAGTGACATTGAAAAGCAGAAAATGACATCAAAAAGCGCGCGCCACTGCCACAGATTCACTCCAAGTTATGGTTCTTTTGAGTTTACATTTTATGAATATGGAGACACAGCTACATTCAAAGAGTAATATGGTAAATATACGTAGATGAAAAATTAAAAAATATATAATTATAGTAATTTGCTGATTAGATTTATTATATATTGTACAAAAAGTGGTTTCAAAACAATATTTCCTTGACATTTTATGCTACCGACCAAAGAAATTATTCGATAACAGTTAAATGCGTTTAACTGTTATCGAATTGTTAAAGCTGAAATACTAAAAGCCTTATTTTACCGATTTTGAACCTTTGCAGAAAATATAAAAAAATATAATATTCTTTACTATCTTAACTTACTGTACTTATTCCAAAAAGATAAGATTTGGAAAAAGTCGCTGGGTGAAGTGGGTAGGTACTGTGTAGTCTGTAATTGTAATGTCATTGTCAACAAAACAAAGATAATGACAGCTGATTGATTTCTTGATGAGAGCATCAGCGTAAATATTTATTTTAAATCATTGTAAACAAACAGAAGGAGTATCGTTTCACGTTTTAAATAATTTCTGTGCATCCATTTTACAACTATATAATGTTAGTATAGTTAAAGATGTCAGTGACATTTATTATTTTTCAAATCAGTGTTGTTTCTTTGAGTTATTCTTTTGGAGAAGAAATCAATTTGTACGGCGATGCTGGTGAAGCTTACGCTATAGAAATGAATATAGGCCATCCACACCAAAAGGTAAGAAGTAAATAAACATACATTCCCATTAGAATTACTTAAATTTGAATACTAGATGAAAAACGTTCTTCTTTATTTTGTATAATTTTGTTAATTTCATGTTATTTGGCCAGTATCCAATCGTTTATAGTTATTTACACAGTAAAAGAGGTCGTATGGAACGCCCAAAAATATATTTTGCAACAAAGTCATAATTTCTATTTATAAATTTTCATAACTATTCTGAGAATGCCCATAGTCACTATGATTATAGTCACGTGCGCAATTGTTACCATGAAACTAATTTTATATAAACTTTTGATACTCTTTGTAATTGAACTTGAACTTTTTGTAATTTTAGTGAAATTTGAAATTCTTACTTTATTATTTTTAAATTTTATGCAACTAAATTCATTACATAGGTGGACTTAATGCCGCTGGCATTCTTACCAGTCAACCTTAAGGTGAAATTAAAATTACTAATATGTTTGAATCTAGAAAAAAGAGATATTGTTTGAAAGCTGTATTTTTAGTTCAACCAGGTAAATTTTTACCCTGTACACTCATAAAATGAGAAATGAAGCATCTTATTTAGATCTGTTTTCTATTAAGAGCTAAAATTTTTAATAAAATAAATTCTAGTACAATAAGTAATTGATATACCTTTTTTCAGTTCAAATTACTAGTTGACACAGGAAGTACAACACTAGCCTTAGCTTCCTATGCTCGGGAAGACAGTAACATATATTTCCATGCGGATAATTCAAGCAGTCTCTTTAATAGTGGAACAACTGTAAGTAAATATTGAGCAATGCCTTTATTGTTTAGGTAGCTTTTTGCTTCTTTTTTACTATTTCTGGCCAAGTGTCCATTAGTTTATCAAATTTATGGAGAAGTGATACTTTTTCAAATAGGCTCTTTGGGATAAAAAATATTTTAGTTTTTTATGAAATAGTTTGGCAAACAAGCAGTTGAGTCACCTGATGGTAAGCAATTGGTGTCACCCATTGACACCCATCATATTTTATTAGCTCTAGTAAGCATCTTAATCTAGTATAATAATAATAAAGATTTGTTATATTATCTGTTAAAATTATAAGTAAATTAAAAGTTTAGTCTATCATAATGAAAATATTTACAGATAGAAGCAGCATATACTCAGGGTACATGGACGGGCCTCCTTGCTTCAGACTTCATACAATTTCCGTCACTAAGTATCCCAGAAGTGCGTTCAGACTTTGCACTCATAACAAAGAGCCATGAGTTTTTCACCAAGGCATCAGTTTGGCAGGTAATGTCAATAAAAGGGTATTAAAATTGAGCCTTGTGCTCCTTGAAAACAGAGTTTAATTTTAAAAAAGCCCCACCTCACCATCAAAAGTGTGTTATATATAACTGTTAATATTTAAGTTAAGTCCTACATAATGATTCTGTAGGTAAACTTGTGCATTACAACTTATACCAAACAAACAATTACCTTTTTATTAACAATTATAATATATCCAACATACTTGGCAATTATGAGCCCATTTCCATATGCTAAGGCCAATTTCTGAACCTGTTATAATTACGATAAAATATCTAAAACCTTCTTACATTGACCAATCCCTATATTTCCCGATCTTTCTAAGCTCATCCTAATAAATCTATTTTTATATTCCAGGGTCTTTTAGGCCTCGCCTATAATCCAGTAGGCGCTTGGGGCAAGTCAGGCGCCGTCGAGTCCTGGCTAGATGCACTGGATCGACATTTGAATAAACCAATGTCATTCCAATTGAAACTCTGTGGACCAATCAGCACATCCAACACTACACATTATGGATACTTTAAAGTTATTGGTATGTATATATATGAATGACCATGTCCAGGAACAAATACATAATAATAAATGTATAACTATGTTTACAATACCAGTCACTAAATGTGAATAAGTGTACTGCAGCCTGGCTAGTAATAGGACAAGGACCATCAAACCATCTTGGTTTTGAGTTAGTCTGACACACCTTATTGAGGCAACAGAAAACAGGACAGAAGAGTCATTTGATGATCTTTAAGTCCTTTCTTTTTTTATCCATTCAAATCTGCATTATGCAGAATTCATTTTATTTCTTTATTTAATACTTTTAAAGAACCTGTGTGCCTTGTTAAGACCTTCAAAGCTTGCTTCCACCAATTTAACGGATATCTAAACCGGGTAACGTTTTAATTAATCGTGTTAACGTGAGACAAACTCGCGCGAGGCATGGTTTAGGTCATAAAACAACTTTTTAACTCTTGTTGTTTTTAATTATTACCATCTTTATTGGTATGTGTTAGCGGTGATTTATTTTAAATATATTTTAACATGTTTTCTTACTTCACAGACAACCAAACACCGCAATCAAATCACAATAAAACATTTCGAACACCAGTACTAAGGAAGCGATGGTACGAAGTAGGCGTTATAGGTGTCAGAGTCTTAAGTTCATTGACCTCAGAGGCTAAGAACAAAACAGTGGGTGAAATAAGAGAACCTGATAAAGATATGTGCGTTAAATTGAATACTGTCAAGAGTATTGTTGATAGTGGTACTACACAGATCAAATTGCCTGATAAATTGTTTAGAGAGGTAAGTCAAATAGTCAGTTACAAAATGTTACTGCTTTTGAAAATGATATTCGATCTTTTCTTTTTTAAAAGGTTTTATTAAAAAAAAAGAGAATAATTTTGCCCAACACTAAGATCTCTTTCTTTCTTTCATATAGACTGACTCGAAACAATAATTTGTAGATCATACAAAATGTTTTTCAGTGTAGGAATCGAAACCGCAAAGCGTTCCACAGAGCTAGTTGCCCAGCCACTGTGCCAAACGTGCAGTTATTAAAACGCATCTAATTATAGTCTGGTGGATGCATTATGTAGTAGCAAATAGAATATAGGGTGTATTTTTTTAATACCATAGGTTTATTTTTGATACCACACAAAATACAGATTGTATTTTTCCGTGTAAACCTTTGTTTTTGCCCGTTTGCTACGTTGCCCCACATTAGGAATTTCTCCTGTGTCGTGGGTGTGTTTACAAACATACAATTTCATATGCACATCACACCCAGACCCGGAACAACAATCTGTGGATCACACAAAGAGTTGTTCTGTGCGGGAATCGAACCCGCGACACGTGGCGCGGCGGCAGCTAGTTGCCCAGCCATCGCGCTAACCGTGCAGTCAAAACCTAAAGCCAATCTAAACCTGGCCGATAAATAGGTACTTAATAAATATTTAATAATTAATTTTGTTTTCCAGGTTGTTGATGAGCTGAAAAATGAATTTAGAAAATCTCAAGTCCTTATTTTAGACGAATTTTGGAATCGGAGAGAGGTAAATATTTTTATATACATAATTATGTATTTAACATAAGTAAATTTTCTGTCTGCTTCCAAGGTCTTCTTATATATCTGTTATTATTATTATTATGCAATATGAATTGCAATGCAAAAATAGAACTCAAGCTGAGTAGCACCTATCAAAATTTAATAAAGTTTTATGACGCGCGCTTTTTATTTTAAACTAGCTTCTCTCGCGAGGTTTCACCCGCTGCTCGGCTCCTACAGATCATAGCATGATGTTGATTGGATAATTAAACTATTCAGCAAAAAAAAGTTTTATTCAATTCTGACCAGTAGTTCCTGAAATTAGCGCGTTCAAACAAAAAAACTCTTGAGCTTTATAATTAGTATAGATTTGATTCAGAATATTTTTTGTGTTAAGCACACGCCTATTATCCCTATGACCTAATTGGTATCCCAAAGACCACTTTGAAACTTCTTTTTTTTTTAATAACAGGCTGCATGCTGGTTAGAGCCTCAAGTGTGGACTTTACCGTGGCTAGCAATAGATCTGCTAAGTGCTGATGCTGATAATCAGTACTTCACTTTGGAAATACCCCCTCAGGTATTATTTTTAGACATAAAAAACCCCAATTTAACCTATTCGATTTCGAAACCTACGGTAATTTCTGTATTTATACCCTGTTGATCTGTAAATATGTTAATTCGGTATTTATACTCAATTCTGTAGGTTTCGAATTTTTGGTAAATTATTTTTAATCAATTTTTTGGAAAAACTTGCAAGGCCAAATTGGTCTGTTAACAACGAAACTGGCTTGATGATCGACTATTTGGGAGTACAATATGCAAACAAGATGACTCAGTTTCATCAGTAAAATAAGTGTTCTTTTTTCAAATAAGTACTTACTTAAAACTATCATGGGACCTAACGAAATTGATCACGTGATTTATTTGAGAACAGTTCTATAGTTCGTTCCATAATTAGAGACAACAATTTGACAACAGCAAATGTCAAACTACAAAATAATGTGGCCAGATTTTTTAACATAGTGATGGGCCCGAGTACGATATTTTAAATAAAATACCGATACCGTTTTTTTATAAAATACCCTGAGAGAAATAAAACAGTTGCGGTGATGTTTTTATAGTTAAATCGAATAAATAACAATAATTTAAAATAAAAATGCGAAATCCAAGACAGGCTAAAAGAAAAACATCATATTTGAGGAACCTATGCTGAAAGCAGAGCTGTTGGAGATTTCCCGGAAAGAGAAGAGTAATTATGAACGATACGTCGTGGACCGATGGCTGCTAAAAGGGGGTCACGCTATTTTACGGTTGCCTTCTTACCATTGTGATTTTAACCCGACTGAGTTATTATGGACACAGGAAAGTACCAGGGAAAGTAGCTAAAAATAATAAAGCTTTTAAAATGCACGAAGTCCAGAATTTAATTTCGGTCTTTCGGTCAATACCAGTCGCGGGACTTCACTATTTATGAAATGGAAAAAACTTGCAACACTCGAAATGTCAAATCTTTGTCTCTAATTATGGAACGAACTATACTAGCTTCAAGGCACAACGCATAAACAAAGTTTTAAGTCTTTTCTCAGGTACCTATATCACTTAAGTGCCTACGCGCCTTTTAAGCCGTAAAAACGTTACATTCTGAAGCCTATTCCTCATTAACGGTTGGGTGTAAAGATTGAAAAAAAAAAATATGTTTACTGTAGATTTATGTACTACAATGTGAGTAAATTTGTTAAACTTATGACAAAAAAGTGTTGGTAAATATTTTTTTACAGTTAAGCTGTAAAAAAATATTTACCAACACGCTATTTTGTTCAAATTCCTTCTAAATGGCTTTGTTTATTAGTTTTTTTAATAGATCAATTGGTGTTAGATTTTGCTACAAAGCTGGAAGCATTCATGTAAATCAGTCAATATTTTAGAAAGCACATGTTATATTATTGACCTTTTCATATATAAAAAGCGGGCGAACGCAGACCGCGCCAAGCATGCGTTAGCATGCGATCGGATGCTCAAGGTTATTGAGGGTACTATACGCCTTAATAAGTCGTAACTATCAGTAAAAATAAGTGTATATTTGTTATTTACAGAACTACATGTTAGTAGTTGGCGTCCACAACAGCAGTGACACATCGGGTACAGTATCCACGTATTGCTACAAGCTGGGACTTGAGACTGGATATACGGAGACTGTGCTAGGATACACCGCTATGGAAGGGTTGCAGGTAAGAAAATCTACTTGCCATTCACACCAGGATTCATATTTCTTGAAGTGCGGACGCGAAGCGGGACGATTAAAGCCTACTGTATATTAAATGTAACGAATATAACTCATAGCGCTTTGTTAAGATTGATACGATTTTTTTCATCGACCTATACCTAAGTGCCCACGGCTGAGCAAAGGCCTCTCCTCACAAGGAGAAGGTTTGAGCATTAATCACCACGCTAGCTCAAAGCGGATTGGCGATTGTCTGCCGGTATATGAGACACAATAGAAAACACATTATGTCTCACGTATATCACAGGTAAAATAAAAGGAGTATGCACGTTTCTTGAAGCTTTGAAAGGCGATTTGGCGGTTCGCGATCTGCTTGATTGTGATTTAGATTTTTTTAGATTTTCATTGAGTCAGATAGTCTGTGTGACTCAGAGACGCGCAACAAAGGGTTCCTATAAAACTGGATGCTAGTTGTAAATGATACAATCATGCCTGCCATCAGAGCAGGCACACTAAAGTTGGTGAGCTTCTTTCCTCAAAAGATGGCTACAGACTGAATTTGCCCAGTTCTCCCATATCACTCTATACTTGTGTAGACCTCTGAGTACATTTCGGGACATTTTCTCACACTAGTCAGATAGAAAATTTCCGGCTTCATCTAGTTTTATTTTTATATCAATTCACTCGTAAAATTACTGTTATTTTATTATTTTACTTTTCCAGGTTACCTTCAACAGGTCAGCTGGTTGGATTGGCTTCCAAACATCTGACTGTGGAGCCAATGCTCGCATTACAGGTCCCTACAATACTTCAACTTCTTTAAAAACAACTTGTGAGCTTATAAAGCCAGTTGCAGAAGTAGCGACATCTATACAAGCTGCCCAGTGGGCCTTATGCGGTATCTCCATAATAGCCGCCAGCGTACTTTTATATTTACTAGGACCATGTATTAAAAACTTATTCTTGAGAAAAATGCCGCGGTCACAACAGATCTCCCTCTCTCAGGCAGCCTTAGTTGAAGAGGATTCACCGTAAGTATTCTAAATGTATTTTGAAGTTCCCCGCACACAATTAGTGAGTAGGTAATTTTCATAAACACAAAATTGTAGCGTATACAGGGTGTGTATGATAATATTGTGCAATAAAAATCGTTTAAGTCTTCTATTTTGTAATTTATTAGTAATTGTGTGACAATACACCCTGTATATAAATCAAGGTTGCTGTAATTCAATCTCTGTAATAACACTATTTAGTTTTGGTCTCAAATTTTTTGACTAGGCAATGAATTAATTCAGAACTTTTAAAATCTTATAAATTTTCACCATTTAATCTATTTTTAAAGCAATTAATATACTTAACTAAAAGTCTTTTAAAAGTGTGATTTCTTTGTTGTAAGTATTTAAGTAGAAGTTTTTTAAAGTTTAAAATAAGTAATAATAATTGACTAATAATAAAACGGAGATGATGTAAACGAATGTAGCTCAAAGATCTCGCATCCGAATTCTCAAACGATACTTCTTATTTTTGCTGTGGATTTCAAGTGAGGGAGAGCCCTGCTTCGGCTCGACGGGAGTTATACCACGACCTTACAGAAAACTGGCGTGGAACATCGATAGCTTTGCGTTTTTCCGTGTAATTGAGTTTACCTGAGGCTCAATCCTTCCCCTCCCAAATCTCAAAATCTCCAAACCTCTAATCCCCAAAAAGTCCGGCACCGCACTTGTAACTCCAGCGGTGTTGGTGGATTGCTTACCATCAGGTAATCAGTGAGCTCGTTTGCCGACTTACCCCATAAAAATTGATTTGTTGATATGGTTATTTTCTGGTATTAAGTATTAAGTAAAAAATATCACAAAACAATGTTGTTTTCGATATTTCAATAAAACTAGTGAATTCAACTTATTGGAATTACCAGGTTGTATGTTCTTTAATAAGTAAAAGTATTGTTTGAGGATACGGATGTAGATATATATACAATCGAATTAATATAACTGACCTTCTAAAACTAAGTCATATATGCACAATGTGAAAAATTAAAGGGTAAAAAAGGTTAAAGGTCACATAGTCATATAGAACAAAATATTTGTACAATCAAATATTTGTTCTTATAGAGTTATTAAATTGTGAGAAAATTCAAAACCTCCGTCACAAAAATTTTTGAATTGTAGTGTGATTGTGATAGTCCATAAATACTCATTTCGGGGCATTGCGGTAAAATTATGATGTAGTTACGTACTCTAAAAGAGTAGTGTTTTATTTTTAAAGTCTGAGTAGTAAGATAGTTTTAGATTTATCTATACTTACGATATTTTTAATATCACTTTTAAAAATTACACTTCTCTATATTTATTGTGTATGGCAACATCTTGATTTACGAAAATGTAGCAGTAACATAGATTATATTCTTAAAACTTCATATTTATTATTTTACATCAAGTATTTTCTGACCAGTAAATTGCTTGTAGAGTTGGGGTCACTATCAATATTCTTTTCCGATATTATAAATAAAAATACATATCAATGTTCACTACAAAACCAATAGTGTTGATCTCGATATTTATTAAAAACTTAATACCTCTAAGTAATCAGTGTCGCCATCTTTTCGAGCAATCTGGAACTTTTTGTAAATATACACGGCTATTTTATCAGTATTGCACTTTAAAATTTTCTAATCATTTTTGCCATATTATAAATGTATTATAAATTATAAGTCATCACGTAATTACGCTAAGTATGTTAATCGTAAAATAAGATTATTTTATTAATTGTATTTCTTTTGTATATTTTTATGTATACGTTTTCATAGTGTGATTTGATAGGTCTAAATTAGGTATAAAATGAAAAAGAAATCGAAATCATTGATGTGTAAAAATAATGAATGAGTAAAAAAGGTTTGATTGAAGAAGTAAATACCTAAGTTATGTCCAAAAACATAACACTTATCTATGATATCCCTTTTGTAAATTACCAAAAGTATGTGTACTGTGTATCTATGTATGTGTGATGTGTTATTTAATTGTATTATTCTGATGTTTACTATGTATTATTTATTACTAGAATGTTTATTTCTGAGCAATTTATTATAATGAGGCGTTTAAATAGCAATGACGTCCATTCGTGTCATACGTACCTAGTTATATTTCTTATTTGCTTATTTTTCTTATTTATTGATGTTATTAAGTACAAAAGTTTTGACAAATTAATAACTCCAGTTCTTAAGTTCTCAGACTTATAGAAAAAAGTTTTAGTTCTTTTGATTGTTTTCTGTGCGATGTCATGTCAAGTAAACAACAAGCATGTCAGGAATTCAAGTCTATGAACTTTCGAAGAGGTTTGAAATCAGTCGAGTAACAACCGAATAATTACGCGAGAAACCTGTTTATGCTACAAATTTTTAACAATACGTAATTGCATTGATGAATTTGCAACTCCAACATTTGCAATTTGTTTAGTAAAAGAAACATTCAGTCCTTATCAAAATATATAAACGTCGCAGGGCCGGCTTAACGTTTTGAATAATATGTTTTAGCTTTTTATTATAATAAGAAAGGATAATAAAAATATATCTAATTTGAGAAGACATTTATTTCCAATAATAAGAAATAAATTATTTTACAGTAATAAAAAAGTGGGTATCTTATCTATACGTTCTTTTCAAATTAAATAGGTTTTTCATAGAAAATTAATGAATACGTTACGATTACATTTCGCAAGTACTTAATTCATTTTAATTTGTAGATTAAGTATCAAGTGATTTATTATTTTAAGTAATTCAATAATAGGCATGGGTCCGATATATCAAAACGAATTCAAAATCCGATTTCATACAAAAATCGATTCGTATCGATTTCTCAAACTTGAAGATTGGATTTAAAAAATCTACCTAGCCGAACCAAACGCTAACGATCTACCACCAAAACCAAACGAATCGACAATAAAATCACTCAATCTCATCACCAAACGGAATCAAAACGCAAACTGCCTACCAGTTTGCATTTGGATTTTGTTAGAAATTCGCTTTCTCTCTTTCTAACTAACCGTAACTTTAGCGGAGTAAAAAAGATAGCGCGAATTTTGTTTTAGATTTTGTTAGAAATTAGCTTTCTCTCTTTCTAACTTATCGTAACTTTAGCGGAATAAAAAAGATAGCGCGAATTTCGTTTTAGATTTCGGTTCTCGGATATCTAACTGTCATTATAATGTGATCAATATCATCTTTACTGCTATGTATTTAAAGACTACATTTTCGAGATTATACGTTGATGTATTTTGGTTTTTGGTTTAATGTTATCGAGCCATAACGCCACACAACAACTCGAGGGCTGTCTATGTTGAGAAATAATTGTTACACAAAAGAATAGGTGACCAAAAAGTATTATTGAACAGTGAAAAAAACAAAACAAATAAAAAATATATATAAATTATTGTAAATATGCCGATTTTTAAATGCACCAGAAAAGTTTTACGCGTAATCTTAAATAAAACTTTTCCGCTAGTCCTAAGCCTAGATTAAAGCATGAAGGAAAATCGCGCAATCTCTATCTGATTCCAACGAAATCTACGTACGCAAGCGAATTGGCGAGGCTTGGCGTATTAGAAATCGGATTTCAAAAAACGGATTTTGAAATCGATTTTGAAATCTGAAATCGGATAAATATCAGTTTGCATTCAAAACCAAAAACGCCCATGCCTATTCAATAACAACCAGTGTTCTTGAGTAGTGTTTTAGTCAGCTGAATGCCATTTATGTATTTTTTACTTGTACGTCTTAATGTGTATTTTCATTTACGTACCTAAATATTTTACTTTATAAGTTGTAGTCAGAAAGTGGCGCTAGTGTCGAAAATGGGAGATTTCCGTCATTATTGTAAATTGTGAAAAAGCCGAAAGGAGTTAGTAGGAATTGTTATGATTGAATGATAGGAATGAATTAGAAAAGGAAGGCTGAAGAAGGAATGGTTTGTTTTGTATAGGAAATATACAAATTAGTTGGATTTGAATGAAATGAAAATTGTAAGTAGTTAATAATGTGTCGCCAAACCCCAGAAGATTTGAAATAAGGTATGTGGATATTATAGTGTTTGACTTTATCTATTTATATTAATATCTATTGTAAATTCTAATGACCAATTTAGGCGAAAGGGTTGAATATTATAAAATTATAAAATATATTTACAATAAATTAATTTGATCAATTTAACGGTGTTTTTTTTACAAAGTAAGTAGCTACAAAGGAAGTTCAAGCTAAATCAAAACGTTCCTACGTCTTTTGCAATTTTGCAGCTCTATAGCGGATAGTAGGTATGATAATAATAGAACATGTTTTTATACAATTTATTAAACGCATCAAAATAAATTATTTCCAATTCAGTGCAAAACTTTGCCTTCTGGGCAAAGTGCAAGGGCAATAAAGTTCAAATGCCAGACGTTTTTATTTTAGAATGGATAATTATACTTGGTAACCCATAATATTCAATTAGCATAAACCAATGCTGTAAATGTGTAAACTTAAATAAAAATAAGCAAGATTATGCCAAATAAAGTAATTTATGGACGAAATAACATTTTTTTTTTATCTTAGCATCTAGACAGTAGCGGTATCCTTGAACTTAACAAGTGCTTCCAAGGAGTTTATAATTATCACGTCTTATTATTGGCTAGGTATCTATTATTATTTTTTTGCGCTACTAAATAGCTTTTATAGTGGATCCTTCGAAATTCGAATTACCGTGTCACTATATTGTAGCCTACCTATGATACTGACTGATGCTTATAGTTGAGAATCTGACAATCTTTATTTTATTATTTTGACCATGTAACGTCGTGGTGGCCTAGAGGTTAGGGTGCCCACTTCTCATGCATGGGTATCTACTTTCTATGATTATTTAGATACACGGCGAAGAAAACCATCGTGAGAAAACCTGGACCACCAACCTGCCTTGAGCAAGCTCATATGCTGATGGTGATGCCCATTTATTAACACCTTAACCGTATTTATCCCAATAACAAGACCAAAACGAGTGGCAAAACTAAGACTCTGGTCCATAAGATAATCTCGCTAAGAGAAGATCTTTAGCTGCACGTTAGTGTATTGAAGAAGGTTAGAAATAGGGGTCATTTTATTAATACTGAAACTAAAGGTGACATTAAAAAACTTAAGAACTCGGAGGAATTAGTTTCATCTGGTCTTAAAGTTGAGGAACCATCAAAATGTCGACCCTGGATTGCTCTTATTGGTGTACCAGTAGCTCTTACAGAAAAAGAGGTATTCGATTGCATATTCGAGCAAAACATTGCCGACATTTGCCGAATATAACACGCACGTGAGTCATTCCTGGAAACGCCATGGGGTTCACCGGTGACCTCCGTTAGCGGAGGATTTGCCTTCAACAGTTACTGTTTTCTGTCAGCAGGTAAAGGCAAAGCAGTAAAATATATTTATTAACATTTTTTTCATATTGACTAACGAGAGTAAACGGACGTGTCTTTTGTATATTTATAATGCACACTTCTAATAATTGCGGAATAAAAAAAATATTTGCGGCGTCAGATTTATATCAAGTAAAGTGTGTCGTGCTTAGTAGGTGACCATTGTCATAGTGTAAAATGAAGTAATAAACTATTTTTAAACAATTTGTGTTACTGTGTTAGTTATGTCTAACCCAGAAGCCAGCCAGCAAGAAGGTTAGAAATAGGGGTCATATTATTAATACTGAAACTAAAGGTGACATTCAAAAACTTAAGAACTCGGAGAAATTAGTTTCATCTGTCTTAACCACTCCCCACCTACTCATCACATGCAATTTATGGACTATTAAAACCAGAGGAGTTACGAGTGCTTGCTTATAAGTTGAGGTTTTTTTTTTGTGAGGGGAAAATCATCAAATGACTTCTCCCGCCCAGGGCCGGGCAGGAGGGAGTGTCAGACTCTTACTGACTAAAAACCCCGCTGTTCCTTCTCCTGCTCTGTGCCGAGGTCGCGGTACCTCATTGCGCTTACCCCGCAACCCCGGCTGAACATCAGCCCTTTAGGGCCCCGTCTGTAGTGGTCGAATGGCTCTTTGAGGCGCGCGCGGAACGCTACGCGCCGTACGCTCGGGTCTGGTTCTGGTCGGGCGGCGAGCTGTCCTTACTCGCCGACCGCAGGTCCGTGCCTACGGTGGCCGGAGATCGTCCCTCGATCCCCGACGCTGAGGTTAAGGGTAGCTCGCCGCCCGACCAGAACCAGACCCGAGCGTACGAAATAGAAATAGAAATCATTTATTTGCAAAAATGTATGTTTACAAAAAAGGATGGACAATTTTATATGGTCTCAATACATTTCACCTTACGGTATGCAAAGTATCAATTTACAATTAATAAACTAGTCACAAATTAATAAGATTTTTTGACATAATAGAGTATTTTATCGTACCAAATAAACGCGCCTAGCTTTCCGCGCGCGCTTCGAAAAGCCAATAGACCACCACAGACGGGGCCCTATAGGGCTGATGTTCAGCCAGAGTTGCGGGGTAAGCGCAACGAA